AGAAAGAAAGAAAAGAAAGACCCAATAACCTACAAAGAATGGATGAATTCTTACAAGTACACCCTACCAAGATTAAATCATGAAGAAATAGTGGACTGTAGAGGTGGCTCAGTGGTTAAGAGTGTGCACTGCTCTTCTAGAGGACCCAAGTTCAGTTTTCAGCATCCATGTCAGGTAGCTCACAACCACCTGTGACTCTAGCTCCAGGGGATCTGATGTCTCTGGCCTCTGCAGGCAACCACACATCTGTGACATACGCTTACATAGACACACACACACACATATGCACATGATTAAAAAAATTTTAAAAATCTTTAAAAAACATGAAGAAATAGAAAACACAAACAGACTAATAATGATGCACGAGAATGAACTATGATATTTGTGCTGGTTACTTTTTTGTCACCTTGTCAGAAGCCGGGGTTAATCTAGGAAGAAAGAACCTCCGTTAAGAAAGTGCCTGTATCAGACTGGCCTGTGTGCAAGCCTGTGGAGCACTTTCAAGATTAATGATTGATGTGGGTGGGCCCAACCCGTGGTGAGTGATGCCAACCCTGGACAGGTAGTCCTGGGTTGTATAAAAGGAAACTGAGCAAGCTGTGAGGAGCAAGTCAGTAAAGAGTGTTCTTCCCTTGTCAGGTTTTTGTTTGTTTGTTTTCCTTTTTTGAGACAAGGTTTTCCGTGCAGCCCTGGCGGTCCTGGAACTGGATCTTTAGGCCAGGCTGGCCTTGAACTCGGAGATCCCCTGCATCTGCCTCTCGAGTGCCTAGATTAAAGGCGTGCACCACCACTGCCAGGCTCTGCTTCAGTTTTTGCTTCCAGGTTTCTGCCTTAAGCCCCTGCCCTGGCTTTCCTTTGTGATGGACAGTGATTAGGATTTGTAAACCGAATAAACCCTTCCTTGCCAAGTTGCTTTTGGTGACTGTGCTTCATCCCATCGACTGAAAGCAAATTGAGACAAGACCGACATTGTAATCAAGTTCTTCCGTTTACGCACCTAAAGTGTGATGGTTTTGCTGCTGAATTCCACTCAGCATTTAACAGGGGGGCAGAAACAAATCCCACGCACACTCTTCTAGCAACACTGAGGGGGAGAGAATACTCTCGAACTCATTTCACTTCTTTTTAAATAATTTTCCTTGTTCCTGAGAATTTCACACACATGCATAATGAAATGTGATCAAATATTTCCAACCTTCATTTCCCTTCTCCGACCCCATCCCCACGTCCCCCGACACACCTGCCCAGCTTTCTGTCCTTTTTATTTTTGATAACCACTAAGCCCAGTTAGTCCTGCCCACGGTGTGGGGCCATCCGACCAAGCGTGGGACAGCTAACAGTGGGCCACACCCTCAGAAAAGAACGATCTCCCTCCCCCAGCAGCTTTCAACTGCCAATGGCGTCTCAGGAGGGTGGGCCTGAAGGACCCCTCCCCCATCTGTACCAAAATTTTGGCTGGCTTGATCTTGTTCAAGTAACCTCAGTGGTTGTGAGTTCATGAGTGTGACAGCTGTGTTACCTCCAGAGGACAGCAGTTCACAGCGCTCCTCACCCTCTGGTTTTTACATTCTACCTCCTTTTCCATGATCCAGACTCTTTTTATGGAGCCAGCATTATCCTGTTAGCAAAGCCAGACAAAGACACTACACCGAAAAAAAATTATAGGCTAATACCCCTGGTGACGTTAGAAGCATACATTCCCAACAAAATACTAGCAAACTGAATTCCTTAGCACACTAAAAGGGTCATTCACCATGATTAAGTGGAATTTATTCCTGGAATGCAAGGATATACATAAATCAGTATGTACCATGTGCCACATTAGCATAATGAAAGACAAAATCCACGTGATCATCTTCACAGATGCTGAAGAAGTAACAGAAAACAAATCAACATCCTTTCATGGTGAAATCTCAGTGAATTAATTGTCAGTAGTTTTCGCTGGGAAGGAGCAGGCAGTGACTTCCCAAAGTAAACCTGCAGAAAGGAGAGAGCTCTGTAAAAAGCTTGTCTTGGGACTGGAGAGAGGACCCAGTGGATAAGAGCGCTTGCTGTACAGGCAAAGCACTTGAGTTGAAGACCCACCCCTACATGGCAGCTCACTACCATCTGTCACTCCTGTTCCAGGGGACCTGTTGAGGACACCAGGCATGCACATGATGTGTGAAGGCAAAGCACACAAAGTAAGTCAATAAATAAAAATTGAAGAAGAAGCTTTTGTCTGCCTGTTCTCCCCTTTGATTTCTACCAGCAGCTCACTGCCCGCTGCTTCTCCCTTCACATCTTCCCCGACCCCTGTCCACACACTCCAGTTCACCCCAGACTTCTTCTAACTTCTGAAGGGGTCTCTCACAGGGTCAGTGTGATGTGCTGACCCTGGGAGACCGTGCTGTCCTCTTACTCAAGTTTTCTACAAGACCAGTTTAATAAGAAGACTCCAGCGGCCGGAGCCAATCTGCCGCCCTCACCTGTCACTGGGTCCTGGCTCTGCATGGATTGCCGCAGTTGTTAGAAGACACAGTTGCCTAAAGGGGGGCTTGGCATGGAAATATTTTGACTCTTAAATTATGCAGTATTTAAGGAGGCTGATTTGCTGCCATTTTGATGCAATAATTATAAACCCAGGAAGGGATCTGAAATGCAGCGTGCACTAAAATCCATCATAATTAGCATGACAAATTACAAGCCAGTATTATAGGCAAGGAACATGCTGTAAAACAGAAGGAAAAGGTGTTATATGCTGTAAACAAGAGTGAAAGACACTTCCCTTGGACCGGCAAGATGAAGGTAAAGGTACTTGCTGTCAGCGCTGGTGACCTACGTTAAATCCCAGGACCTACACGGTGGAAGGAGAGAACCGACTCCTGCAAGTTGTCCTCCGAACTCCACACGCATACTTCCTACACACAAATAAACATAAATACTGGGAATTGTTTCTTCAGAGAAAGAAAACGCCCTTGTCCTCTTCTGGGGGTGAGAAATTATGGTCTGACATTGTACATTGAGATCAAAGCTTGAGTAATATCCACAGGGTTTGTAAGAGTATTGATTCTTGTCAGAGGGTGGCTTTGAACTTAAAATTTGCTTACCTCAGAGTGGTGTGCGGAAAACAACCGAAGGAGATACAGGACACATAGCTGTAGCAGTGGATGCTCCTGTACTTCTGTGTACTCCCACCAAGGTGACAAAGACACACCCTGCTCACACTCCTGAGTGTGTCAAGTAGTGTCGTCTGCACTGTAAAGTGGATGTCGGACTGTCACCAACCACATACTTTTTAACATAAGAAACCGTCTGCTGTGGGATGTTAATGTATGTCCTGTGGGAGCCCTTCTTGGGTTCCTTGTGGCGTTACCCAGC